GACAGCAGAGACTGAGGGCTGGAAATTCCAGGTTTAGAGCCACAGGTTTCTTCATCTCCCTGTCCCACCAGCAGATCTAATCCCCTTAAGCATATGAGAGATAAGGTGTCCTCAGCCTCCATCTGTCCCTCTATGTGACTCAGTGTCCAACAGCTATGAATGACCTTTTTCTTCACAATCAAATTTGGTTGTAGACTCAGCAATGGACACAGTCCTCCCAAGCACGGGGGTCAGAGTCAGCAGCACAGACTCTGGCCCGTGGGCATCGTGGGCACGGCTCCACGCACAGTCAGCACAGACCTACTGTGTGGAAACAGTCCCCCTGTCAACAGGGAACACTCATCTTGGGGGTACTTTCTAGAAAATTCTTCACAAGCCTCAACAAAGGATCCTGGTTTAGAAATGCTGGCTGGAGACAGCTGACAATCAAATATGAGAGTGAGAAGTTTGAGTATTCTTCCTGGCAACAAACTAACAGCTTCAACAGACACTCCTGGAAAACAGAAATGTGACCTGGGACCAGACAGGAGATCATTGTTAATTAGGGAAAGAGAGAGAGAGAGAGAGAGAGAGAGAGAGAGAGAGAGAGAGAGAGAGAGAGAGAGAGAGAAGGTTGAGCTGTAGCGTGTAGAACAGAGAAAGTGGTGCTTAGTACACAATTCTTTCCATTTTTAACTGTTGCATGATTTCAAAATTAAACTAGTATTTTTTTTTGCTTCCAGAGTATGCAACATTTTTACTTTGGTAAAATACAGATAAAATAATGTTTTATCTTTTAAGCATTTTTAAGTGTGCAATTAAGTGCAGTAAGTACAGTAAAAATATTGTGCAAACATCTCCACTATCCAACCCAAGAGCTTTTTCATCAGCGCAAACAGAACCTCTGTATCTATTACACAGCTACTCTAGAAATTTTGGACATTATGGACAAAATGACAATTCACACAACTGAATTAAAAAGAAAATCCCATCTGGGCGTGGTGGCTCACACCTGTAATCCTAGCACTTTGGCAGGCCGATATGGGTGGATCACCTGAGGTCAAGAGTTCAAAACCAGCCTGGGCAACGTGGTAAAACCCCGTCTCTACTAAAAATACAAAAAAAAAAAAAAAAAAAAAAAACACAAAAAGTTAGCCTGGTGTGGTGGCAGGCACCTGTAATTCCAGCTACTCAGGAGGTTGAGGCAGGAAAATCCCTTGAACCTGGGTGGGCAGGGGGAAGTTGCAGTGAGCTGAGATTGCACCATTGCACTCCAGCCTGGGCAACAAGAGCAAAACTCTGTCTCAAAAAAATAATAAAGATTTTTTTTTTTTAAATCCAAGGGTAAACCAAAGATGGTGTTGGCACTTCCATCCCAGCTTGTGTGAAATCTCAGCACGGTAAGAGGGTATGCTTCATCCAGGAACCCAGATGAGACGCATTCCCTAGGGCCTTTTCTGGGCTGTTTCTTCTCAAGGAGCAGAGACATCTCAACAGGACTGTGCCCTCTGAGAAAGCTCTCTTCTCTCCTGCAGTATTAGTGATAACTTCTGGGGTCCTCATTTTCAGTTTACTGGACTGCTGTCCACGATAGTTGAATGATCCTGGAAGATGAACCAGGATTTGCACAGATTCAAATGGGCAATAGTGGCATTTGTAATACCTGCGCCAGATGGGGATCTCCTGGAACAGAATGCTGTGGCTGCAGGTTCACAGTTGCACCATTCAGAGAGATACTGAGGTCTTGCTTTTCCCCTTAGAGAACAGGTTGAGAATCCCTGCGCATTCACGTGGGCTGGACAACAGTATACATTCACACTTTCTCTGCCCAGCATCGTTAGCTCTCCCTTCCCTGTCATGATAATCATGGGGGCTCAGACCATCTGGACATCATCGTTGAATTATATGTACATGGTGGGCACGGTCTGTTGGAAGCTTTTGTGAGATCCATGCACTTTTGTGAATGGAAAATAAACTAAGATGTTTCCTCCTCCGTATTAGCTGAAATTGGGAGTTTAGTTGTTTGGAGCAGCTGAGAATCGACAAAATGAAGAACATGTTATTATATCCTTCAATTTCCTCCAGGAAGAAAGAGACATAAGGTCTTTAAAGGTCTATAAATAGTGTATTTACACTTGGGGATGTTGTTCCAACCCATATGTCAGAGCCATAAATATTGCCCACTGTTTTCCAGGCCCAGAGCAGGGAAGGCTCTGCAGCAGGTGCAGGCAGGGTTGCGTGTGTCCTGCTGTTGAGGCCAGAGAATCCAGCAGCCTCTACCATGGGAACTGAAACCTCCTGTACATGGCAAACCGCATTGGAGAATCCCAATCTAGACTCATGGGGTTTTGGAAGCAGTCCACGTCATGTGCAGTAGAGATTACTTCCCTTCAAAAAAACAGCTCTTTTTGGCTTACTGGGCCCTGGGAGATACAGGACCACACTGGACCTCAAGTGACCATGTTGCCAGAACTGCCATATCACCCTATATCACTCCCTGTGAGCTCAGGGAGGCCAGCAGTGACCTCCGGTGAGATGGGTGTGACACATCTAGGGTAGAGCAGGGTCAGGGCTCCAGGACTCAGTCACCTGCAGAAACAGCTGGTCCACACCCGTGTTCTCATTTCTCTTCCGGCAGCGCCTCTCCCTGGCTTCACACATATGTCCTATGAGTACAGATGGGGCTTGCTGAAGCAGGTTACTCCACAGCACCTGCCACCTGAAGGGGTAAGCCCAGAGCAGCACTGTACAGTCAATGTGATGAGAGCCTCATATGAATCCTACAGTCTACTCACCATATTAGAGGTTTAAAAAAAGGATAAACAAGATTTAATAATATATTTTATTTAACCCAAAGCATGAAAAATATTTACACATGCATACAATCTAAAATTATTTGAGATATTTTATAGACTTTTTATAGCTAGTTACTATTATTATTTTTGGGAGATTCTTTATGTTGAGATTGTGTGGTTGATGGAGATTTGAAGGTGTCCGATTGACAAAGGTGAGCTGTGGTGGCTTCGTAGGTGCCAGCTTTGATCATCTGAAGGAGGGGTGAAAAGAATGACTGTTTGCGCAGGATGTGGAAGGTGGAGCTGGGCACTGTCCATCCTGCAGCTCCACCTGTGGGTGCATCTCTGGTCCCTGCATGGGGTGAGGCTGCTCTCCTTTCCATGGATTTCTTGCAGGAGGATCTGACTCCACCTCTCCTTCAGGACTCAGAGCACCTGGCATGTCACGATCCTGTTTCCGTTTATAAGAAGACAAGACAATCAGATATAGTTAGACACTTGGATGTACACAACGGAAATTTAGGAAATTTGCTGGTGATTCCCAGTGTCTAGAGGCCGCTTCAGGTCTACAGTGTCTCATTTTGGTGACAGCTGGCCATCTGAGTTTGTGTTTCCTGGAAGTAGACCCTGAGATAATAATTTGCCTGCACAGAGGATTTGGAAAAAGTGAAGGCGGCATCACCTGCAGAAGACCGTGACCCACAGTAGGGTTGTAACTGAGGCTTCAGGCATCCACACGGGGAGATCTGGAGCTGGAAGGCCCTTCTGTGTCATCTTGTATTAAGGCAGGGACTTGGGATCTTGGCCTCAGGCAGTCATCACACCACAGTCTCAAAACTCGACCTAAATATTAGGAAAAAGCTTTTCTGGAACCAGTAGCAGTTTCCAGTGAGGGCACAGCTCTGAGCTCCTAGAGCCTCCCAACAGTGTGGGTGGGTGAATTCAGAAAAGCCTATCTAGGCACATGCCACAGTGTCCCCTCCTCTGTTTTTCCCATTTACAATCCCAGGCTTTCATGTTGAGCTGAGCTGAGCATTTTTGGGGACCGATGTAGGATAGTTGGAAGAAGGAGTGACCCATTCACCACCATATGGAATACTAAGGCCAAATGATGGTTGCTACATCTTCCATTCAGTTCTTATTTCCCCAAGTCACTCCTGAGGCCTGAAAACATCAGTAAATTCTGATTATAGCAGCCCTAGATCCACTCCTACACTTCCTTCTGCTGGGCCAGCCTGGAGGGCTGGACAAAAGGATGGCCTAGGGGTGTCAGCTCCAGTAGAACTTGGCCAGAACTGCTCATGGCTTTGTCCACAGTCTTTCTGGTACTGGAGGAAGAAGATAATACACATGGGCAAGGGGTTTGCCTCTCACTTTCCCATCTGCCTGTGTCACTGTGAAACTGTCAATATTCCCTGAAAAACAGTAATAGCCTCGTCATCAGTCAGGGCCCTGCTGATGGTCAGGGTGGGTGTGTTCCCAGAGGTGAACCCAGAGAATCCCTCAGGGATTCCAGAGGGCTGCTCACTGTCTTCATATATCACCAGCACAGGGGACTGACCTGGCTTCTGCTGGTACCAATCAGTGTAATTTTCCCTCATACATCTCCAGAGCAGGTGAACCTGGCTGTCTGTCCTGAGGACATGGACACTGAGGGTGGCTGTGTCAGCCCATAGGAAGCCACAGAGCCTGCGAGAGAGGACAGGAGAGGGGGCTTGAAGATAACAAACACATTTCCAGTGGTGTCACCCTAAGGCTATTCCTGGGCTCAGCTCAGGATTCAGGACAGGACCAACTCAGGGACCTGTGAGGACTGAGCATGGGACAGGTCTTTGGGGCAGCACCTGTGCATAGGATGAAGAGGGAGAGCAGGAGAGGGGTCCAGGCCCTGGTGAGACACCCAGAGCTCTGTCTCCTGAGCCCACAGCACAGCTGGTCTCCCCAGGCCTCTCTAATTTCCTCTCAGGCCCACTGGGGCAGTGCATGTTTCATGTTTGTGCAAATTCACTGCTCTGGGACTCCTCATGGTGGGATGTCACTCAGGTCATCTCTGGGGGCAGCACAAGAAACTAAGAAAGAAGGGGCGAGTCCTCAACTTCCTCATCTGCTTCTCTAGTAAGAAAATCAGCCTTGGCCTCCAAGACCTGTGATCACAGTCACCTTCCTAGGGATTAACAACATGTCCCAAACCTGTCCCAAAACTCTGTGTCCTGTGGTCTGTCCTAGGTCACATTGAGCAGAATGGTGAACCTTCCAGGAGCCTGGCCATGGAGCTGAGCCGAGCCCTGTTGAGAGATCACTGATGACACCTGGCTCAACAGCAAGTGCACCAAAGATGCATCATCTTCCTCCTCCTTCATCTCCACTCAGGATACTGCAGAGTCACTTGGCCCCACCGTGGTAATTTTATCTACATTAAATACTGCGTCCCTAGGACACTTGCTAATCACTGCATTTGGAACAGTTTTGTCATTTGAGCAACCACACACATTTTGGATGCATCACGACCTCTAGTCTCATTTCCCATGCTGCGCTGCTCCTTCTATGGTATCCCCCAGCCCCACAGTAGGACAGCAGTTGCCATCCTCAGCTCTGTATTTATTTAATGTTAGTAATGGTATTTTTTATTGTATTTTACGTTCTGGAATACATGTGCACATATTGTAGGATTGTCACAGGTACACACATGCCAGGGTGGTTTGCTGTCTCCATCCCCCTGTCACCTACATCAGGCATTTCTCTCAATGTTATCCCTCCCCAATCTCCCCACTCCAACTATCCCTCCACAGCCCCCAACCCCCAAGATACCCCAGTTTGTGACACTGCCCTCCCTGTGCCCAAGTGTTCTCATTGTTCAACACCCGCCTATCAGTGAGAACTGATGTTTGGTTTTCTGTTCTGTGTCAGTTTGGTGAGAATGATCATTTCCAGATTCATCCATGTCCCTACAAAGGACATGAACTGATATTTTATGGCTGCATAGTATTCTATGGTGTATATGTGCCACATTTTCTTAGTCCAGTCTATCATCGATGGGCATTTGGGTTGGTTCTAAGTCTTTACTATTGTAAACATTGCGGTAATGAACATACATGTGCATATGTCTTTATAATAGAACGATGTATAACCCTTTGGGTATACACCCAGTAATGGGATTGCTGGGTCAAATGGAATTTTTATTTCTAGATCCTTCAGGAATCACCACACTATCTTCCACAATGGTTGAACTAATTTACACTCCCAAAAGCAGTGTAAAAGTGTTCATATTTCTCCACATCCTCTCCAGCATCTGTTGTCTCCAGATTATAAATGATTGCCATTCTAACTGGCATGAGATGCTATCTCACTGTGGTGTTGATTTGCATTTCTCTAATGACCACTGATGATGAGCATCTCTTCATATATTTGTTGGCCTCATAAATGTCTTCTTTTGAAAGGTGTCTGTTCATGTCTTTCACCCACTTTTGAATGGGTTTGTTTGTTTGTTTTCTTGTAAATCTGCTTTAGTTCTTCGTAGATTCTGGATACTAGTCCTTTGTCAGATGGATAGATTACAAAATTTTTTTCCATTCTGTTGTTTCCCCATTCACTCTCATGATTGTTTCTCTTGCTGTGCAGAAACTCTTAAGTTTAGATAGATCCCATTTCTCTATTTTGGCTTTTGTTGCCATTGTTTTTGGTGTTTTAGTCATGAAGACCTTACCTATGCCTATGTCCTGATGGTATTGCCTGGGCTTTATTCTAGGGTTTTTATATTGTTGGGTCTTACATTTAAATCTTTAGTCCATCTGGAGTTAATTTTAGTGTAAGTTGTAAGGACGGGGTCCAGTTTCAGCTTTCTGCACATGGCTAGCCAGTTTTCCCAACACCATTTATGAAACAGGGAATCCTTTCCCCATTGCTTGTTTTTGTCAGGTTTGTCAAAGATCAGATGGTTGCAGATGTGTGGCATTACTTCCGAAGCCTCTGTTTTGTTTCATTGGTCTATATCTCTGTTTTAGTGCCAGTGCCAAGTTGTTTTGATTACTGTAGCCTTGTAGTATAGTTTGAAGTCAGGTAGCATATGCATCCAGCTTTGTTCCTTTTGCTTAGGATTGTCTTGGCTATGCTGGCTCTCTTTTGGTTCCATATGAAGTTTAAAGTGTTTTTTTTTTCCAGTTCTGTGAAGAAGGTCAGTGGAAGCTTGATGGGGATAGTGTTGAATCTATAAATTACTTTGGACAGTATGGCCATTTTCACAATATTGATTCTTCTTAACCATGAGCATGGAATGTTTTTTGTTTGTGTCCATCTGTTTGTGTCCTCTCTTATTTCCTTGAGCAGTGGTTTGTAGTTCTCCTTGCAGAGGTCCTTTACATTCTTCATTAGTTGTATTCCTAGATATTTTATTCTCTTTGTAGCCATTGTGAATGGGAGTTCCCTCATGACTTGGCTCTCAGTTTGTCTGTTATTGGTGTACAGGAATCCTTGTGATTTCTGCACATTGATTTTGTATCCTTAAACTTAGCTGAAGTCGCTTATCATGTTAAGGAGATTTTGTTCTGAGATGATGGGGTCTTTAAATATACAATTATATCATCTGCAAATGGAGACAATTTGACTTCCTCTGTTCCTAATTGAATACCCTTTATTTCTTTTTCTTGCCTGATTGTTCTGGCTAGAACTTCTAATACTACATTGAATGGGAAAAAGGAGAGAGGGCATCCTTGTCTAGTGCAGTTTTCAAAGAATGCTTTCATTTTTTGCCCATTCAGTATGATATTGGCTGTGGGTTTGGGGTAAATAGCTTTTATTATTTTTGGAAATGTTCCATCAATACCTAGTTTATTGAGAGTTTTTAGCATAAAGGGCTGTTGAATTTTGTTGAAGGTCTTCTCTGCATCTATTGAGATGATCATGTGGTTTTTCTCTTTGGTTCTGTTTATGTGATGGATTACATTTATAGATTTGCATATGTTGAACCAGACTTGCTAGGTTGGGAAGTTCTCCTGAATAATGTTTCCCAGCTTGGATTCATTCTCCCTGTCACATTCAGGTACAGTGATCACGCATAGATTAGGTCTTTACACATAATCCCACATTTCTTGGAGGCTTTGTTCACTTCTTTTCACTCTTTTTTCTCTAATCTTGCCTTCTTGTTTTATTTCATTGAGTTAATCATCAATCTCTGATATCCTTTTTTCTGCTTGATTGATTTGGCTATTGAAACTTGTGTATGCTTCATGAAGTTCTCGTGCTGTGTCTCTCAGCTGCATCAAGTCATTTATGTTCTTCTCTAAGCTGGTTATTCATTTCCTCTAACCTTTTTTCAAGGTTTTTACTTTTCTTTGCATTGGGTTAGAACACGTTCCTTTAGCTCAGAGAAGTTTGTTATTACCCACCTTCTGAAGCCTGTTTTTGTCAATTCGTCAAACTCATTCTCCATCCTGCTTTGTTCCCTTGCTGGTGAGAAGTTTTCATCTCTTGGAGGAGGAGAGGCATTCTGGTCTTTCATGATTTAATTCTTTTTGCACTAGTTTCTTCCCATCTTAGTGGATTTATCTCCCTTTGATCTTTGAATTCGTGATTTTTGAATGGCATCTCTGAGTGGACGTCCTTTCTGTTGATGTTGAAACTATTTCTGTTTGTTTTTTAGTTTTCTTTCTAACAGTCAGGTCCCTCTGCTGTAGGACTGCTGAAAGTCCACTCTAGATGTTGCTTGCCTGGGAATCACCGGTGGGGGGTGCAGATCAGCAAGTGTTGCTGCCTGATCTTTCCTCTGGTAGCTTCGTCCCGGAAGGGTACCCACCAGGTGACAGCCAGAGCTGTACTCTATGAGGAATCTTTTTGGTTATGCAGGTTTTAGGGAGCTGCTTGAGCAGTGTGTCCATTCCTGGTCTGCCTGCAGAGGCGCTGCTGGGCTGTCATGGACTCAGTCCAGCTGCTGTGTAAGCTTCCTCTGGCTTTTGTTTACACAAGTAGGTTTAGACCTGCCTCGACAATGGCGGACGCCCTTCCCCTCACTGAGCTCGATCATCCTGATGTGCTGGCTGCAAAACTCTTAATTGAGAGGGCTCAGCTTGCTGGTCTCTGGGGGGTGGGACCCGCCTAGCTGTATCACCTGTCTCCCTGCTTTGAGCTCCCCCTCTTTCTGGGGAGCAAGTAGCTCCGTCCTGCAGGCTCTATCAGTGCTAGTCAAAACATTCACCCAAATCTGTGGCAACAACATGCGGCATCTGCGGAGCTGCCACTCAGATCTGTACTGGTAACGTGGTGCTTTTCAGCCTGGCAGGGATCTCCTGGTCTGTGGGTTGCAGAGGGCATGGGAGAAGTGCAGTATCTCAACTGGAGTGGGGGGTAGGGAAGAAGTCCCCGATCCTCCAGTCAGTTGCACTTCCTTGGTGAGGCAGCATCCCGCCCTGCCATGGTTTGCCCTCCTTGGGCTACACCCATTTCCATCGAAATGAACCTGGTACCTCTGTTGGAGATGTGGAGATCACTCACCTTCTGCCTCTCTCTCACTGGGACTGCACTCCAGAGCTGTTCCTGTTCAGCCACCTTGGTGGAATCAGCTCTTCCTTTATTTCTTCACTTTTTCTCATCAATGTTTTATGCAAACTTGCAAAAAGCACCAGATACTCACACTGGACTGAGAATGTAACTTTAGGTCCCATTGTGTCTCCGAGGATCCCAGGGTCATGGTCTCTGCACAGGACATGAGCCCCAGAGGGTGGGTGGGTGGTCAGGAGTTCCTCCAGCCATGCAGATCCTGTCATTGATCAAAGGACAGCCCCACTGGGGCCACATCTGCATATTCTCATTGTTCAGCTGGAGCCTCTGGAGTTCCTCAAGGCACAGGCACACGGTCAGGTGGTCTACAGTTTCAGAGACGTTGCGGGACAGTTTTTACAGGCTGGAATTTCTTAAATTCAGTGAGGTTGTTTCTGTGTGTGTAAATGCTACTGGAAAGTGACTCACATTGGTGACTCCTCTGTATTTTTTATGTCTCCACTTTACACACTTGTTCAATCCTGTACCCTCATGAACAAGTAAAACAGAATAGTGTTGTAAGAGTTGCTTTTGTATCCTTGCCTATGTGGTCTAGCATGTGTGCAACTTTATTGCCACTTTGGATTGATTTAATTGTCTGCATGATTAGCGTAGATTTTCTGGTTACCTTGCAGGAAATATTGACAGGATAAAGATATTGCACATTTTTCCTGCTGGGTTTAGAATTATTTTGCATTTCATTCTCTACCTTTGTCTTTTATTGTCGAATTCAGAAAGTTACTTGAAAATTGCTGGGATTTTCTGTTTACTTTTACATTTTCATCGTTGAGACCTAGTGGCCATTTGTCTAGGGTGACATTTTTCCAGTACTGAGGCACAGCTGGAGACTCCACTTCATGCCCTGTAACTCA